TATAACGGTTTATATTTTTAATAAAATCCTTAATAAATTAGGTAAGCTTTCGGTATAAAAAGTAAATAAATACTTTAAAATTTAGTTAATAATTATATTAATTATAATAAAAATTCAATAAATAATATAAAACCTATTTTTTTTTTATATTTTTATAATTATTTATTATTAATAGCCGTATTTTTAAAACTTTTATTATTAAATATTTATGTTTTTTAAAAAATTAGGTTTATTAAATCGATTATATTAAAATAAGTATTATATAAACCGACTTATTTAAAAATATATTTAAATTATTTTATAATATCGAATCCGTTAACTTTTATAAATTAATTAAATTAGTTAAAAAAGGCTTTTATAATAAGCTTTAAATTATTTAAAATCGATAAATTTAAAATAATATTTAAAAAAAAAGAAGAGAATTTTTTAAATTAAATATAATAAAGAATTATAATTTCAAAAAATAGTAAATTTAAAAAAGAGTTTTATTATAAAAATAAATATAAAAATAATAAGTTTATTTAAAAACTTTACGTTTTTTATTAATAACGGTTTAGTTTATATTATTAAAAAAGGGCGATCGTTAACTTTTTATTAAAATTAATAATTTATTAAATAAGTTTAAAAATATTATTAAAATATTTTAAAATACGTTATTAAGGTTTTTAATAATTATTATTAAAAAACAATAAACTCTATTTTAATAAGATATAAAAAAAAGATAATACGTTAAATATTTTATTTTTTTTAAAAGAATAGTATAAAAAATAAAATATAAATTTAAAACGTTTAATATTAAAAAGGGGGGCGTTATAAATAAATAAAAATTAAAATAATATAATAAGTTAAAAAAAGTTAGTTTTATTAAAAAAACGGCGCTTAAAATAAAATCTTAATTTAATTTTAAAATAATAAGGCTAATAATAAGATAATAATTATATTTTTTATAATAGCTCGGTTAATAAATTGCTAATTAAGTTATTTCATAATTGAAAATCGCTAATTTTATAAAATTAATTAATATTAAAATAGCTATTAATTAAAAAAAAATAATAATAATATATTTATATATTAGCATTTTAAAAATATATTACGTTATTAAAACTATATTTTATAATTTAACGGCGTAAATTACGCCGGGGTTTAGCTATTAAAAATAATATATATTAATATTAAATATAAAAACTATAATAATAAAGGAAATTTAAAATAGGGAGAATATATAGAAGTAAATTAATAGAATTTAAATATATTAATAATAAAATTGTAAATTAATTAAGATAGTAGATATGTATGCCGTTGTAAGGTGTATACTTCTGTATTAATTTTATATGCTTTTATATTAATTCCTTATTATTATTATAATATTATATATTATAAGCTCTTATTAGATTCTTTTATATAAAGAAAGAGCCCCTAGCTATATTACCCCGCTTATTAAAAGAAATAATACTATTTAAAACCTTACTTTCTAAACTAATCGCTTATTATAAATATAATTATTTATAATTATCTTATAATTACTTATAAAAAATAAAACTAACAGGTTAAAATAAGTTTTTAATAGTTTAAAAAGATTAAATCTAAGGTTTAAAAATTAAACTTTACCTTATTTTATATTTTACCCTTTTTAACACCTATTCCTTAGGCTTCTACGCCTCTTTAGACATTAATATTAATAGCAAGCCTTAAAAAACAGTTTTAAAATAAGGCGTATAATAACTTAAAATAGAGTAAATCCAAATTAATTAAAGTGTATAAGAAACTCCTATCGGCCGAACTTTATAATAATAATTATATTACTATTACTATAACTAAAAACTATATTAAACTTAATACACCGGAAAAATAGCACTAGGTAGAGTATCTTATCTAAATTAAACTATAAAAAACGAAAAAAGAAATAAAATTCAAACAAAAAGCTAGTAATATAATTTAAGTTATCTCACCTCTAAAGGAAGTAATTAGGGAGGCTATAAAAGCTATTCCTAAAGCTATTATTGCCTAGGTTAGTATCTTCTTTCTTAAAGTAAGTTAATTTATAAACTTATAAATATTTACTAACGCTTTATAAATATTTATAAATCCAGTTACTAAATTGGATATTTATTATAATAATATTATTTATATTATATTAAAAATAAACTAATACTAAAACTTAATTAATCTCCTTTTTAAACTAACTTATACCGACCCGTACTTTTAAAAGCTACGTATTAAGTTTAAAAAGTATATTATTAAGCTATACTAAAAGCTTTTACTTTACTAAATAAAATGTATTTTTTATTATAAGAGCTATATTACTGGTTTTTTAAAAGTCTTTTAAAAATTAATAATTAAGCTAGCAAAATTAATACTATTAAGGCCGTTAAGGCCGCCGTACGGAGCGACTTAGAGTAATATAACTCTTAAAAAAAACTTAAACGCTTTTAAAAACTAAAAATAACTATAAAAGAAATAATAAATTAACTTTAACTTAACTATAAAGAACTTTAAAATATTAAAATTATAATTAAAAACTATACTAAATATTAAAAAAAAAGATAATAGAGCTAGGAGTTTATAAAATACTTAGCTAATCTATAGATTACTAATCTGTATTATGATAAAAAATATATTTAAGATACTAAAGGCGGTTTACATATTAACTGCTACGTTTAGGTACTTTTGAATTTTAACTTTTATTAATAACGTAACGATTAAGATTAGTAACTACTTTAGGTTAAGGGCGACCTAGGTAAGGGTAAGACTATATTCCTATATAGTATTATTGATAAGTTTAAAATAATATATGGTTAAGGGTAACCCTTATCCTACTTTTTTTATGAAGCTATTAATAACTAATTTAATAATATAATAGCTATACTACGTAGTTTAGTTTTTATACTTCTTAATTAAAACTAATCTCCTATTTTATATATTAAAATAAAATATAATAAAACTAACAAAGCGTTTTTTAAAGATATAAATACTTAGAATAATTATTAATTATTCTAATATCTATATATCTTAAGTACCCTAGAATAGATTTATACTTCTCAAGTACCCTATAATAGAGTTATACCTCCCAGGTACCCTAGAGAACTCTAAGTACCCTATAATATAATAATAAATATATATTAAATATAAAAAGATATATCTCAATTATTATAAGAGATTAAAGTCTATAATGAATATATTTAGAATTAGCGATTTTTCATACTTTTAATGATATATATTTTGTATATAAATATATATTTTTAAATATATATTTATATTTTCAAGCTATAGACTTAAAATATATTCTTATAGATACGTATTTAAATAACGTTCGAATTAAAAAACCTTTTTATAGAAAGGGCCTTTTAAATGCTTTATATAAAGTTTCGTATTCTTATAAAGTTTAATACTTATATAAGTAAATAAATTAGTTAAAACTATATTTAATAACTAATTAAACTTAATTCGTATATAAGTAACATATACGTATTACGGCTAGCTAGTCGTAATAAGGTTTATATTAACATAAGTCAAGGCTACGATATTCGTAAATAATAATCGTCATAAAAATAACTTCAATAAAATTATTATTTATAAGTCGTAAAGTAAGTAAGGTTTTAATAATTAATCGTAGTTTTATTAAATAAACTTTTAATAAAAATAATTAAAAGCGATCGTAAGATTTAATATAAAATTAATTATTAAAAAAGTTATAAAAATTATAAACGTAAGCTTAGCTTAAATTTATATTATATATAAATTTTATATATTATTAAATAGTTTTTTTATATTTAAAATTAATATTATAAGATCGGTTTTTTAAAAATAAACCGATTTTTATTTGATTAATTTATATTTAAAAACCGCTTATTATCCGTCGGTTTTTTTTATTATTACGTAATTTTTTTATAATTATTTTAATTTATTAAAATAATATATATATTTTTTTTATTTAATTATATATATAACGAGATAGCCGCTATAGAGTAGTGGGGTAAGTTTTTAATTTATTATATATATTAAATTATAATATTAAATATCTTTTTTAAAAATTTAATTTTATAGATTTATAAATAAATATTTATAGCTTAAGTTAAAGCTTATTAAATTATTAATTTATTATCTTTTATAATATTAATATTATATTAAGTTACGTAGAAAAATCAAGCGTTAAAATAAGATTTAAAAAAATAAAAATAAAAGATTATAAACGTTTAGTATTTTTAGAGTTTATTAAAGCTTATTTAGTTAATATCGATATACTTTATATTTATTATTTTTATATTAAAATTACTTATTAATTTAGTAAAGGGTTTTCTTATTATTAAATTTATATAAAAACGAAAAAGCTTTATAATAAGGTATTAATAATATTAATTTATAAACTAATTTTTTTTTTATTATATTTATAATCGTTAATAATTATAATTTAAAAATTTTATATTTAATAAAAAAAATAAAATAAAAGGAAAAAAAAGCGGGTAAGGAATTTTTAAAATTTTATAAAGAGTTAGCCCGTTTTTAATTATTAATAACGATTATTATTAATTATTAATTTTATATTTAAAAGACTTAAAAGTTAATATAAGATAGTTAGGTTAAGATTTTTTTTTAAAAGATATAAAAAGTAAATAAGTCCGATATTTTAAAATTTATATTAAATATATATAAATATAAAATAGTTAAAGAATTATAATTTATATAGGTTTTTAATAATAAAGATTAGTCTTTTTTTGAGCTTAGTAACGAGTTTACGTCCTTAGGACTATTAATTTTATTTTTTAATAGTTTTTAAAAAATTATTAAGAGTTTTAAAAGTTCGTAACGGGTTTTTATATATTATTTTTATATTTATAGTTTTTTTATTTAATAAAATATTTTTATTATCCTTTTTAAATTCGGAAGTTAATATTTCGTTTAACTTTATATTTTAATTCGTTAAGTTTAATAATAATACGATTTTTTATATATAAGTTTTTAAATACCGGCTTAAGAAATAAAATATAAAAAACTAAATAATATTATATTATATTTAAAAGTTTTAATTTAAAATTTATTAATAAAACTTTTTTATTAATTTTAAAAGGTTTAAGTTTTTTATAATTTAATTTATTATTTAGTCGTTTCGTTTTAATATTATAATAAAAAAAGTATATATTATCTCTTTTTTTTAAAATTAGTTTATTAATTTTTGATTTATTAATGTATTTCTTTATATATTATTATATAAATTTAAAGTTTAAAAAGGCTTTTTTTTAAATCTTTTTAAATTTATTTACGTTTATTACGGCTTTTATAATTTATAATCTTTCGTATGCTTTTTTATATATAGTTAATTAGAATTTATAGTTAAAATAAAAAAGGGATTTTTTTATATTTTTATTAATTACGTTATTATATATAAACTAAGTTATTAATAATAATAATATTTAATTATTTTAGTTATAATTTATATAATAATAAAGGTATATTTTAAGAATTTAATTAATTTTTTCTATTTATTTATCGATTTATAAATAAAAAAAGGTCGATAGTTTATAATTTATATCGAGTTACGAAATTAATAATTTTTAAAACTTAGTAATAAATAATTTATTTTTATTAGAGATTTCTTTTTTAAATAAATTATAGTTAATAATAATTATTTTAAAAATATATATATTAGTTTTTTAATATTATTCGTTTTTTTATATAATATAAAATAAGTGAATTTAATAAGTCGGTCGATAATAATTAAAATATTATCGTTTTATATATTTATAAATAGTTTTTTAAATTTTAAAAATTTATTAATAAAGTTTTAAAAAATTAAATATTATATTTTTAACGGCAATAATAATAATTATAGCTTTTTATAAAGCTTATAAAAGCTATTTTTATTTTTTTTATAAATATTATAGTTTTTAATAATTTTAATGATTTTTATTTTCGTAACGGATTTATTATAATATTATTAAATCCGTTTTTATATTTTTATAATATTTTAATAATTACATATTTAAATATTATAAACTTTTATAATAAACTTAAAAGTTATTTTTTAAATAAATTAGTTTTAAATTTTTTAATTATTATAAAAAGTTTTATAATGAATACGAAATTATTATTATTATTATATTTAAAAATTATTTATATTTTTTTAAAATTCGTAATTTTATAATTAAGTCGTTTATTAAAAACGTCCGTTTTATTATTATATAAACTTTTTTAATAAATAATTCGGAAATTAAATTTAAATAAAAATTTATTTTATTTAATTTATTATTTATTTAAATTTTTATTTATTATAAAATTCGTAAAGTTTTTATAATTTATATAAATAATAATTTTATATTTAGTTTTTAAAAATTAAATTTTTTATTTTTTAAAAATTTTAATTATAATTATTTATCTTTTTATTATAAATTTATCAATTTAATTTTATTTTATAAAAAATTTAAAATAAAATATATAAAAATAAATTCTTTTTTATTAATTTTATTATTTTAAAATAATTTTTATAATAAAGTTTAAAATATTAGTTTTAATTTTAAATAATATTTAAAAGTTTAAAATTATAATAATTAATTTTAAAATAATTAAGTTTTTAATTTTATTAAAAGCTTTTTTATATTTTTTATTTAAAATAAAAATAGTATTTTTTTAATTAAATTATTAAAAAGTTTAATAATATTAATATAACTTTTAAAAAATTATTAATAAAAGTTAATAAATTTTAAAAATAATTACACGTTTTTATTATTAATAAATATAAGCTAGTTTTTAATTATTATTACTTTAAATATTTATATATAGATTTATTTTAACGTAATTATATAGCTAAAGAAATCTATTTTTTATATATAAAATTCGTATTTATTAAATTTAATAAAGAGTTTTATATTTTAAAATTTTTAAAATATTATATAAATATATTTTTTATATATTTTAAAATTAAAAAAAATAAGGATATTATTAAAATTAATAATTACGAAAATATTAATATATTTTTTAAATACGTAGTTAATTATTATTTAAAATATAATAAATACGTTAATAAGTTTAAAAAATATAATTAAATATTTATAAAATCTATTATAAATTCGAAATATTATTTTTTATTTTTTTTTATTTTAATTTTAATTTAATTAAATACTTTTTTAAAATTTATTATAATAAATTATTTAACTTTATATAATACTTTTTTAAATTCTATAATAAAAAATAATAAATAATAATTTTTTTTAATAATTTTATTAAATTTTTTATAATTAATTATAAATTTAAATTCTCTTTTATTTTTTTTAAATATAAAAAAAATTAATACTTTTATTAAAAAGGATAATAATTTAATATAATTCTTTTTAAATTTATTATTAATATATTTATTAAGTTCGTTACGTTTAAGTTAATTTATAATATATAATAAATAAAATTTAAATTATAATTTTTTTTTTTAGTTTGATTTTTATATTTTAATTATTATATTTTAATAATTTTAGTTTTTTTTTTAAAACGAATAGTTTTATATAAATTCGGTATTTTTTAAATATAATTTAAAATAAGTTCGATTTTTAATTGTTTATACTAAATATAAATATTTTAATAAGTTTTCTTATTTTAATAAAAGCGATATATTTAGTTTTTCGTTCGTTAAATATTATATAAAATTCTTTTAAATCTTTTTCTTTAGGTCGTTTAGTAATTAAATTTATTTAATAAAATTAGCCGGTTTTTTAATTTATTTATAAATTATATTTTTATAATTACGAAATTTTTAAAATAACGTCGGTATTTTTAATTTTTATAATATTATATTTTAATTATTTTAGTTAATTATTGATATATATTATAAAGTATATAGTCTTTTAATTAATATATCCGTTATTATAATTAATTTCTTTTTTTTTTATCGTTTATAAAGTATATAAGTTTAGTTTTTATATTTATAATAGTTTATATTTATTTATCGTTTTTAAGAAAATAAAAATCTTTAAAATAACGTTATTAATAATAACGTTTATATCGTATTTATTTATTTAAAATTTAAATTATAAATATTTTTTATTAAGGAATATTATAAAATATAACAATTTATTTATTTTAACCGTTTTTTATTATTTTTTTATAATTAACGTATTTAATTTTTTAATATTTTAAAAGTTAATACCCGTTTTTTTTTATAAGTTATTTATAATTAATTATTAAATCGGGATGTTTTTATTTTTTAATAAATAAATATGAAACATTAATAATATCGTAAATATCGTTTATTCTTTTATTAATAGGTTTTCTTTTTTTAAAAAATAATTTATAGTTTTTAAATGTTTTAATATTAAATTATATATTTAGAATATATTAGTTATGTAAGTAGTCTTTTAAGTCTTTAATAAGTTAATTTAATTTTTTTTAAAAGCTTATAAATTTTTATTATTTTAATTACTTATTTAAATAGGTTTTTTCTTTAATAATAAAATCGTTAATATTAAATAATATTTTATAATCGATTTTTAATTAAATACGTCGTCGAGCGACGTCGCGAGGTTTATTTGAATTATAAAATAGTTATTAATTTATAAACTATTCGTAATTTAATATATTAATATTATTTAAAAAAGGGTCGTAGTTTAGTTTTTCAATATTAAATTTCGTAAATATATTATTAATAATCTTTTTATTTAAATTATTTAATTTAGTATTTTCTTTAAACATAAAAAATCTTTATTTTAATTAGAATATATTATTTTTTATTATTATTTTAAATTATTTATTTATTTATTATTATAAAATAATAAAAACCGTTTTTATAATTAAATATTAAAAAATATAAGCGTTTATTATATAATAAGCTTTATTTAGTTTTTTAATATATTATTAATAACGTTTTTTTAATATTTAAAATCCGTAAATTAAATTTATTTTTTTATTAATTTTATTTTTTAATTAAAACAGGTTTTTCTTTATTTTAATTTTTAATTATTTTTAAAATTATTATTAAAATAAGGCGATTATTATTTTTATATTTAGTTATTTTTTTTAATAATCGGCTATTTTTATAATAATTAATTAAAATATAAATATAATTTTTATTATAATGTTTTATTATTAAAAGGCGTTATTCCTAATATTAAATTATTTTATTAAATATTTATTATATTATATAAATAAATTTATTTAAAATTCGTATTTTATAAATTAAGATCTCATTTTTTAATTAAAATAGGTCGTTTTTAATTTTAATTATTTCTTTTTTTTAATTTACTTTTTATTATTGTAAAAGTTTACGTTTATTTAAAAAAGTTAAAAAGTTATATTTTAATTATTTCGTATATTATTAAAAATATTTAAATATATTTTTTATTATAATTTTTAATAGTTTTAAAATATTAAACTACTTTTTATTTATTTATTATAATAAAAGTCTTATTAAAAAGCTTTTTAAAATACTATTTTAATTATCTTTTATTATTTCGGTAAATAAAATAACTATCGTTTTAATATATAATTTAAGAAAATAATTTATAAAGTATTTCTTTAAAAATAATATTAATTTATTATTTAAGAATAGGTCGTTATTAAATTCGTTTAAGTTATTTATAATTTTTAGTTATATATTTTAATTTATTATAATTATAATATTTAAATTCTTTTTTTTAATAAAAATAATCTCGTTTTATTATATTAAAGTTTATAAATCTATTATATTATTTATAAACGGTAATTTATTAAAGATTATTATTTTTATTATAGTAGTATTTCTAATTAAAATTATATTAAAATTATTATTAATATTTACGTTTTAAATTAAGTTTTTATTATTATTATTTTTTTTTTTATAAAAGCGGTTACTAATTTTAATTACGAATTTAATATATAAAAAAGATTATTTAATTTATCGATTTTAATAAGCTCGTTTTTAATTTTATTTTTTAATTTTTAATAAAATATAAAAATCTTAATATTATTAATAAAATTAAATTAAATATAAAAGCGTTTAAACTTAACTAAATAGTTTTTTATTAATTTAATTTATTAAAATTATAATATATTATATTCGGTTTATTATTATTTATTTAAATTTTAAAAAAATAATTTAAAAACTTCTTTAAATTTATTAAAATCATAATAAATATTTTATATTTTAATAAAATATTTATTAAAAAAGTCTTTTTATAAAAAAGTTTAAATTATTTAA